TCCACCACAGTTACTGCCACATTTGCCTCAAATGTCTTGCCCCAGTACATTGTCATACTGCAAGTATGGTCACATAGGCCTGTTTATATATTTCTCCATGAAAATTAAGCATCTAAGAGAAAAAAAATGTGACAGGGAGCAGGACTAGAGTCATTGCCACTTGCTGATGGCTGCAATCAGCCCTCCTGAAGGAGTTCAGTTGTAACTTCTTAAGACTGAACCTGGAGTTTTATATGGGTTGGGGGAATAGGTCAACTTACATGCTGGGTTCACTTCTAAATATTCTTTCTCACTGTAGTGTAATATAGAGGTTAATATTAATACCATTAATCATAGCAGTTAATATTTATTAAGTACCTATTATGTGGCAGGTGCTATGCTAACATATATAGGTGCTAACTTCACATATATTAATGTGTTAATTCTTGTATCAAACCTATGAGGAAGGCACCATTATTATCCTCATCTCAAATAAAGATGCGGAGTGAAGCTAGGCTCAAAGACAGTATTTGAAGTCAGAAGGTTTAAAGTAGGAATTCTGGCTCTGCCATTTGCCAGTCTGTGACTTTAAACAAGTTACCTAAGAAATTAATAAGGTTTTAAATGGCAAATGAGATAAACTAATAGCTATCATGTAATTTGAGCTCAACTCAGTATGTTCCATTTCCAGCTAGCCTTGAGTACCTAAGAGGGGGGCTGGGGCAGATGATCCCTCAGCTTCCACTGACTTAGAATCTTAAACTTTTCTGATTCTCCTGTTGACCCTTCCTGAATTTTCTATTCCATTTCTCCACTCTGCTTCCATGGACACTATTCAAATAATATTGAACGGCATCGATTTTAACAAGACGCATCTATTCTAAAGATAAGTACTTAGGAATTTGTTTCTAAATTATTTTGCATGATCCAAGAAAATTATCTTTTTGTTATCAGTTATGTCTTAATGCATAAAGAATACTTAGTATTTCACTTAAGCCATTTTTAATATTTTTTAGTTGTAGGTGGACACAATACCTTTATTTCATTTATTTATTTTTATGTGGTGCTGAGGATTGAACCCAGTGCCTCACGTATGCTAGGTAAGCACTGTACCACTCAGCCACAAATACAGCTTAACAAGCCATTTTTAAAAGTAATCACAGAGCAAGACTTTTAAATTAAACCTAGGGTTTTGAGGTTTTAAAAAACTATTAATTAATCTTATGAATTTTTAAATTTTGGGCTCCATGCAGTTTACTTCTCATTTTCCCTTTTGACCTATGCCAGCATGATTTTTGGTATAAACCAAAGATTGGAGGCCAGAGCTTAGAACTCTAATTCTGCCTATAGCAGAGTCCAAGGGAAAAAGCTGCTAAACTATGTGGTAGAACATATTCTTTATCTGCTAAAAATAAAAGGAATAATTATGGGCAATTAAATCTATTTGGATTTTCATGGCTTTCTCTTTATTTCCTAAGTCAGGCTTTCCCTTATTTTTCTGTCCTTATTTACTCTATTCTCTAATTTGCTTACAAACCATGTCATTAAAAGCACAGATTTTTGACCATAAGGAATGGTTCATTTCAGATCCTTATAAAAGCTAAGAAGCATGAAGGCCAGAGAAGTAACTTTGCCAAGGTTTCGGTTAGTGGCAGAGCTGGAACTGGTATTAAGTTCTTTAGATTTCCAATTTATGTGCTTTTTCCACGGTATCAAGAAATATTTTAGAAATAACTAGATCAGACTTAGTATTTGCTTTTGAACTTATTCTTGCTTTCTTATTTTCATCCTTTAACATTTAAAGGAATTTTTTTCAGTACCACGCAGAGGCACTTAACCACTGAGTCACATCTCCAGTCCTTTTTTGTTGTTTATTTAGAAACAGGGTCTCACTAAATTACTGGGGGCCTCACTAAGTTGCTGATTGCTTTGAACTAGTAATAATCCTGCCTCAGCCTCTCGAGCTGCTGGGATTACTGGCAAGTGCCACCATGCTCCACTTAAAGGAAAACTTAAAGGATAGTTGAATCATTAAAAAGCTCATTTCTTTCATAAATTTGATTTCAGTAACAGACATTTAAATTTGTTTTAGACATCTCTGTGAGATTGAGTTTAAAATTGTTTTAACCCTTTAAAGTTACCCTATTAAAAATGTTATACATTTGTAATATTGTTGAAATGATAAACATGGTAAACACTGAAAATTAACATTGACATTATGCAAGCTAGCACATTGGTTTTGTAGGTTATTAAATATATTTACATTTTTATTATTTAAAATAATTCTTTAATTCTTCTAAGTTCTCTGTGGTCTTTGGCTAATTCTAATTTTTAACATTTGACTTAACATTTTAATGTAATCTGTTCAAAATTATAAAAATTATTTATTTTGTGACTAGTCCAGGTACTTTTTTTCCTGTTTTTTTTTTTTTAACCTCACCATTTAATCTTCAGCTATTTAATTTATCAGCCTTTAAGGAAGGAATAGGGTAGGATATAGAGTTGGTGAAACTCAAAATTGTCAGTTTGTTTTTTGTTTTTGTTACCTTCAATAGTAAAAAATTATTTGAAAATAGGCAAAATGTATTGAAATAATGATGCATGTTTAGGACCCTCTTTGGAGTTTGGTTTTCCATAACCAAATGTTTACTCTATGGGAAAATAGCTATAATCCTGTTGAAATTCAGTGGTGTACCAGAAGACCATGCAGGGGCTTTTGGAAAGAAGACTCCTGCTGTATCTTGGAGGAGGCCTGCCTCGGTGGTGAACAGATGGAGCCATTCAGCATGGGAAATTCTAAGAGGAGCTAGCCTTGGAAGAGAGGGTAGTGTCTGAAAATGTGATGTATATTCTGGGTAGGCAAATACTTAAATAGACATTATAAGAATACAGTACTATTCAGGTCAGTGGTAGTATTTTCTAGATATTTTTTGATGTTTTCTTTATTATCCCCTATATCAACATTAACTAAAATTTGGCATTCATAAAATAGTAATGCAACATCTTAATTTTCCCCCTTTTGAGTTACCTGAAGACTCTTAAAAAGTATATAAATATAATCAATTATACTTAATCATACATTTAAACTTTTCTTTAAAAGAAAATTTAGAACTGTTTTGGAAAATTTCGAATGTATAGTTGTCAGATTTATATCTAGCCTTTTACTATATGTATATTTATACACATGTATATACACATACATACACACATGCGTATCTGCACACCCACACACACTCTGTGTGTTTCTCCTTTTACTTGTTTTCTGGCACAAGTCCAGACTGTCTTCCCCTTATAGGGTATATTGTTGTAACCTTCTAATCAAGCTCCCTCAGAATAGTACTGATCATTTCAAACTCAGCCTACAATCTTAATAAGAGCTCTAAATCATCCCTTTTAACTTGTATTCTTCATCATAGTGTTCAATTTACTGTCTTCAAAAAACCTCTTTCTATCTAAAGAGGAAATTAGTATCACACTTTAAATTAATCATCATCCCCACCCGCATCTTTCACTTCTTTTAAAGTCATCTTCTCTCACTATTTTAAGAAACTGCTCACTTCTGACTATCCTGGTTCAAACCATTTCTCTTTGTCTTCCCTTTTCATTCTTTTCTCCAAACTCCTGTTTTTATACCCAATAACTCACAGTGTAGCTCTTTATTCTTTGGTATAAAGAGAAAAGATTAGATGAGAGACTTCTAGGATTTCATCTTTCTGTGTGTGTGTGTGTGTGTGTGTGTGTATACATGCTCAGTTCTTGTTAGATCAATAGCAGGCACTCAATTAAAGTGTATTGAGTGAGTAATGAAGGAATAACAGCTATGAGGTAGTGAAGAATCCTATCAAGATGGATATTTGTTTTGTGGGATATGGTATTTCAAAGTTTGAAGATTTTCTAAGCAAGATAGGGAAACTATTTTCTTTGCAGTGGAATTTTAAGATCAGAAGTCATGGTAAACAAGTATCTTTTGATTAGTTATTCTAAAGTGCAAAAAATATGTTCTTGGTGTAAAGTTTTATCTTCATTTAAGACCCTGGAATTAACCCGAGAGTTGGAAAATTGCCCATGGAGGTAAGTATTTGGGAAGAAAGGAAAGATGGGAAGGAGAAAGGGGGACCAATGGAAGATTCATAAATGTATCTGATTATTAGTATCTAAGGAAGGAAGAAAACTAACCAATAATTATGATTGTAGAGTCCTAGAGAAGTATACTTTGAACAGCTTTCTCAACTAATGCCATAATTTAGCTGATGAGTGACAGGGTGGTGGCATTCAACTTGTAGGTTTATTTGGCCATAACTTCCACATTCTTTCTCCTGAGGAAATGCCCAGACGTGTAGATTCTGGTGACAGCAAGGCAGTTAAATAATCTGTGGTATGAATTTGGTTTTATTTTATATCCCAGCAGCTATAAAATCTGTGAAGAAAACTCTGATTCTTTTTTTCTCTATGGAAAACTGAATACCTTCTTTACATTTCTTCTTTGGTGTAACTCTGAATTAAAATTTTAATTTAGGGATTACTTAATTCCTATTCTTTATCTTCAGCAAGAATCTTGAAGCTTTTTATTTATTTATTTATTTTATATTTATTTTTTAATTTTCGGCGGGCACAACATCTTTGTATGTGGTGCTGAGCCACATCCTCAGCCCCTCTTGAAGCTTTTTATAACTGTAAGAAAAAGTTGCAATTCTCTTGAGCTATTGCCAATAGCTTACAGTGGTGCCAAAATTTATGTGTGGGAAAGTTGATTTCAATGAGGGTAATTTATCTGAAGTTTAGCTAAGAAACTAGTGTTTTGCTGCCAAGCAATTATTTGCATTTCTAAAAAATGACTTATACTTTTAACCAATGCTTTCTTTCATTGTAGACTAGTTACTTAAGTAATTTATTATCAGTAGTGGTATATATTCTATAATGGAAACTATATTCTTGTTTAATTTGGTTAAGCTCAGCCTTTTTTAAAATACGTGATTTGGGTACTTCCATTAAACATTGCCTTTTGTTTAAATGAAATCCACAGGAATTAAATCAACAACTAGAAAAAAGAAAAAAAAATGGAAGAACGTGAAAAAAGAAAGATAATTGCTGAAGAAAAGCACAAGGAATGGGTTCAGAAAAAGAATGGACAGGTAAAAAGGAAAAAAATGCATACACATATTCTAACATCGCTTTTCAAAGTCTTTCTTCCAATTAGTCCTTAGCTAGGTTTTTCTTATATTTCTCTTAGGTTCTTTCTTCTTTGGGGTTTTGCTTTTGTTTTTTACCCCTACCCTCATGAATATTTATCAAGTCTCTTGTCTTCTGCCCTTTGCCCTTTACTCTTCTTTTGTTTTTGGTACTAAGGATTGATCCCAGGCATGCTTTACCACTGAACTACATCTCTGCCCTTTTTATTTTGTTTTGAAACAGGGTCTTACTAAGTTGCTGAGACTGCCTCTAACTTGCCATCCTCCTGCCTTAGTCCCCTTGAGTCACTGGGATTACATGCATGCACTACAGAGCCTGGATGCCCTCTAATTTTGTTCTTTTCTGTCCCTGTGACCTCTACTAGTGTCTGCCTGCATTCAGCAATTCTAAATATTTTTTTAAATATTTTTTTAGTTGTATATTGACACAATACCTTTATTGTATTTATTTATTTTTATGTGGTGCTGAAGATGGAACCCAGCACCTCACATGTGCTAGGCAAGCGCTCTACCACTGAGCTACAATGCCAGCCCCACCGATTCTGAATCTTTAGGCTTGAATTTTTTGAGTCTTGGATTTCTATCCATTAGATCAGCAGGCAACTCCAAATGTGTACACCTAAAAATAATACCTTTGCCCCATTCCTCTTCATAGACTTTTTCCTATTATTCCTTTATTTCTATTACTTCTACTGTGTCTTCAGTCACTTAATAATAATTCTGTTGCTCCAAAACATCCCTTCCTTTACTATATATAATTGCTGCTTCTCTTTTATTTTCTGAATCATCTCGTTACTTCCTTCAACTTTATTGTTTACTTCTCCACACTAGGATATAAGTTCTTATAAGATCAGGAATTTTGCTTCTTTTTTTCAGTTCTCCAACAGCTTATCCATTACCACACATTAGAGGTACCCAGGAATATTTCTTAAATGAATAAAGCCTTCCTGTATGTCTCTGCCAGATTAAACTTTGCTGAATAGATCTGTCATTCCTTATGTCTAAATTTTTTTTTCATGTTCCACACCTGTACTGTCTTCTGACTGAGATTTTAACAACTCTAGACTGACTGGTTAAAGAGTCTCCACTCTATTCCCTGAGCCAAAGTAGCATTTCAGCCACGTACCATCAGTTTTATCTTTATTCTATGCTGATTCTTTTTACTGGGATTATTTAGGGAGCTCACACAAGATAATCACAGCCGCCCCCCATCTTCTTGGAGTATTAGTTTTACTGGAAATTTTTTCAGAGGAAAATGTTATATTTTTATGTTAAAGCAAACATAGGTATATAAAGAAGTAGACTGTAAGTTTATTTTTATTTTATTTTTCAAAGTGTTGATGATCAAACCCAGGGCCTTGCATATACTAAGAGAGCACTGAATTTTTTTTTACATTATTTTTAAGATACAAATAAATGTCCTAGAAATCTTGAGCTTTTGGCTGTACTGCCCAGGCCTCAAGAGTATGTATTCTTGAGAAATTTTGAGAATACTTATCTTCTTACTATTTTTCATTTCCTAATTTTTACATATGGTATTATATCAGGATGGAATCTCATCATATTCTCTGTTCTAATTTTCCATTTGTCATCTAACTCAGATTGCTTCCTACATGCAGATTGGCTGTTCACATGTTAGAGATTCTTTCCTGTGAATCTTTGTTCAATTTATATTAACTTTTATCATATGGTGCTTTGTATTTTGTGTATGTTTTATAAAAAAGAAAAAAAATGGCTGTTTTGTAGTATGTACATCCCTTTTCTTTCCTTGTAATTTTAAGATCCTTAAGAACAAGAATTCTTTTTTACATTATTTTTATCCGTTACAAGGTTTATAATTCTTTGTATATAGTAAGCATTTATTAATTGAATGAGTGATTGAATTTTCTTTTTTCTTTTTCTTTTTTGCAGTGCTGGGGATCAAACCTAGGGTTTCTCTCATGCTGGGTTTTACCACTGAGCTATATTCCTATTCTTCCTTTCAATTTTATTTTTGTTATTATTATTATTATTATTATTACTTTTTAATTTATGGTGCTAATTGAACCCATGGCCTTAAGCATGTTAGGCTAGCATGCAACCATTGAGCTATCCTTCATATCCCTACTTTCAATTTTAATACATTCTTATGTTGGATCACTCATTAGAAATATTTTTAAAAGGTCTTTATTTTGTTTATTTATTTTTATATGGTGCTGAGGATCGAACCCAGTGCCTCACATGTACAAGGCAAGTGCTCCGCCACTGAGCCACAACCACAGCCTGATACATTAGAAATTTTAAAATAGATGGGCATGGTGGCACATGCCTGTTGACTCCAACTACTTTAGAAGCTGAGATAGGAGAATCACAAATTTGAGTCCAGTCTGGGCAATTTTCTGAGACCCTGACTCAAAATGAAATTAAAAAAAGTCTAGGGGAGGGCGTAGCTCTGTGATAGACTGCTTATCTAGCATGCACGAGGGCTTGAGTGGAATCCCTAATACTGCCTCCCAACCCCCATTTAAAAAAAATTATTCTGCTATCACTTTGTTTTTTATTGTTATTTGTAAGTTTAGAATGATATTGATTTTATTATTAAAATATAACTATGAATATAGATAAATGCTCAAATTATAGGACAAAGTTTTAAATTTTTAATTATAGTTTTTGTCCTTACCTATTGTTGAATCTGATGCCAAGTGATATTATTATGAGTATCAAATAATTTCAGTAAGTTGAAGAAAACATAACCTTCATCATCCAGGCATTAGAAGAAGGAAATTGGTTAGAGAGGCGTCTGTGTTTATCAAATACCATAAAAGTATTTGATTTTACTTGGATTGTGTTTGTTTAGAAATCAATTACTATGGATTGTGTTTGTTTACTTCATCCCCAAAAGAGTACTTTGAATAAATGTCACAATGAAAATAAGTCTATATGACCATTACAAAATTTTTGTTGACACCTTTTTGAAGTTTATATGAAAATAGTGCTCCATGTATGGTGTGCTCTCTCCTCTAGAAGCTTCTCTTATCTTCTAAATTCATTCAGCTAATTTTACCATGCCAATCAAACATAATTGTTGTTTTTCTAAGAATGTAAGATACTGCTGAGAGATATATGATATATATTCACTGTTTTAGTTAGTTGTAGTAGACCTAATCCAATTATTTTTGAGGAAAAAATTCTTTTGGAGTAAGTGGCTTGCCATAACATAAATCACTAATTATTGAAAGCAGGATTCCATAAGGTAGAAAATGATTCAGAGATGAACCCTGAAAAATTAATTTACCTATTCTTCAGCATTCTTGTGCAAGTTAAAGAATAATCGATCCCTCCTTTTTTTTTCTTAAAAACTATCAGATTTCTTACTCAGCCTTAGTTACATTTACCTGTATTTGTAAGGACTGCTCTCCTGGTTCTTCTCTTCCTGTCTGGCATCTAGATTTCTGTTTACATTTCATGGTGTGTGGTCCTCTGCTGCCTCCAGCTTCATTTTAGTTGTATATTGGGCTGCTATTTTCTCTAAGTCATTTTCACTGTGTTTTATCAAAAAATCAGACAAAAAGAATTTATGTATACATTAGTAAGATTGCTTTCTTCTAATATGACTGTAAATTGTGAAATCCTTTTAAAAAATGGTTTATCTCATTGAGTACACTTAATATTTGTGTTGTTATGCTAATTTATTTTCCAAATTAATTTTTTTACACATTAATACAAATTTTGAAAAAGGCCTCTACTTTCAGTGTTTTAAAAGTTATTTAAAAATAAAAATGTTTTTAATTCTCAAAACACACTGATATTTTATTTGAAAGACTTAATTCAAATCAACAAGGTGTATGATTGATAACATTGTTATCAGTGTATCATTCATGCTTTCAACATATGTTTACTTAGCTTTTTCTATGTGCCAAGAGGGCCCTATTCGAGGAATTAAAATAGAAAGTCAAAAACTTTAAGTAGCCAGTTGTTCATTTCTTTTACTTGTAAGAAACAAAGGTTCTTTCAGGGCACCATTTTAGAAAAGGAAGATTAATTATTGTCCTCTGTGATATAGAACCAGTGTGCTAGAAAATCTGAAGCCACTTAATGGCTGACTGCTTTCTCAGTAGCAGTGACTATTCTGACTGCCTGCTGTGCAATAAAATACACCTGTTTTAAGTTTATGAATTTGACAGATATATGTACCTGTATAATTAATAAGCACCAGAGTCAAGATAATAGAATGTTTTCATCACTCCGGAAAGTTCCCTTCGCATCCAACCCCCATTCCCTTCCAATAGCCAGCCCCAGCTCCAAATATCCTGGTAATATTTCTATTCTGTATATAAGATTGTGCTTTCTATACTTTTTTAAAATCAGAATGAAAGAATGTGTTGGACTTCTTTGTGTTGGACTTCTTTTGTTTTTAAATATATCCTGATATTTCATATATTGTTGATTCATTTTTATTGATTAGTAGTCTCCAATGGAATAGCATAAATTGTTTATCCATTGAATTGTTGATGGTCAGTGGATTGTTTTCCATTAGGAGATATTATTAATAAAATTATATGACCATTTATATACAAGTCTTTTGTGAACATTTGTTTTCATTTGTTTTGGGTAAATGTTTAGGAGCTGAATGTGGTAAGAATGTGTTTACAAGAAATTGCCAAAGTATTTTCTAAGGTGCTTATACCAATTTATATTCCCATGACTATTTATGAAAGTTCCAAATATTTTACATCTTTGGCAAAACTTATATTGTCAGTCTTTCATTTTACTTCTTCCAGTGTGTGTATAGTATATGCCATTGCTTTAATTTTCATTTCCCTGAGATCTAATGCTGTTTCACATCTTTTTATAAGCTCATTGTATTAGTCTTTCAGGGATGCCATAACCAAATACCATAGACTTTGGTGGTATAAACAACCAAAAATTTTCTCACATCCCAGAGACTGGAAATCAAGATGAAGGTGTCTGCAGGTTTGGATTCTCTTTAGGCCTCTTGCCTGCAGATGGCTTGTCTTCTGGTTTTTCTTGTGCACACATATCTTTAGTGTATTTTCCTCTTTAAAAGACATCAGTCTTATTGGATGAAGACCTCATTTAAGTTTGATTAACTCTTGGAAGTTTTTATCTCCTCACACTGGGAGATAGGCCTTCAACATAGGAGTTGAAGGGACACAATTCAGTTTATTATACTTATTGACCATGGTAGGCAAGCACTCTACAACTGAGCTACATATGTTGTTAGCTTCTTTTGTATCAGTTTAAGTCTTTTGCCCATTTTTTGAAGGGGTTATATGACTTCTTATTAAGATCTAAGAATTTGTAAGAATTCACGGTTGAGTAAAACTTAGGGGCAGAGAGCATGCTTAGCAGGCTCTGGGTTCAGTCCTCAACAAGCCTCCTCTCCTCCATCAAAAGACATGTAGGAATTATTCTTTCTTTCTTTTTTTTTTTTTTTTTTTTTTTTGAGATGGGGATCTTGGTGATATCACTTTGTTACCCTGGTTGGCCTCAAATTCCTGGGCTTGTCAGGTGATCCTCTTGTCTGAGCCTTCCAAGTAGCTGGGAATATAGGTAAATGTGACACTGGGTGAATTTTGTACATTTCTCTTCACTTTTTCTTTTCTTTTTTTAATGTGGTGCTGGGGATTGAACTCAGGGCCTCACTCAGGCTAGTCTAGCACCTACCAATGAGCTAATCCCCAGTCATAGAATTCTTTATATATTCAGACCACAAGTCCAATGTCAGATAAATGCATTGCAATTATTTCCTCCCATTTAACTTTTTTTTTTTGCCAAGGACTAAATCCAGGGATGTTTACCTACTGAGTCACATCTCCAGCCAGTTTTTTCTTTTTTGTTTTGAGACAGGGTCTTACTAAGTGGCTTAGGAGGGTCTTGCTAAGTTGCTGAGGCTGACTTTGAAATTGAGATCCTCCTGCCTCAGTCTGCTGAGTCACTGGGATTACAGGTGTGTGCCATCACTCATGGCCCATTTAATTTTTTTCAATAATATATCTTAAAGATCAGAATGATCTTCCTTCCATCCTTCCTTCCCTGGGGATTTAACCCATGTAGACTTTACCACTTAGATATATCCCCATCCTTTTTTTGAGACAAAATCTTGCTAAATTGTGTAGGGCCTCCCTAAGTTGCTGAGGCTGGCCTTGAACTTTTGATCCTCCTGCTTCAGCCTCCCTATTCACTGGGATTATAGACACGCACCTCTGTGCCCAACTTAAAGAGCACAAGTTTTAAATTTTGACAATATTCCATATTTCAGTTTTTTCTTTTATGGTTATGGTTTGTATGTCTTTATTTAAGAAACATTGTGTAGTTCAAGAGTATAAATTATTTATTGTTTTCTTCTAGAAGTTATAACTTCAGCTTTACCTGTATGTTTATTTTGAGTTCATTTTAATATCTGGTTGAGTTAAATGTTGGGATTTATTCATTTGCATACATATATTCAATTGTTCCACTGTTAATTGAATAGATAATCCTTTCCCTATCAAATTACCTTGGCACTTTGTTTAAAATCAATTGACCATACACACACACACACACACACACACACACAGATCTATTTCTAATTCTATTGTCTTCTATTGATTTATATCCTGTGTCAGCAGTAATAACTTGTTACTACAGCTCTATAATTCTTGAACTTATAGTTTTTTAAAAATAGATAATATAAATCAACTTTTGTCTTCTTTTCCAAACATTTTAATTTCTTTGCACCTTTCTGTATGTAATTCAGCATCTGATTATGAGATTTGCTAAGTATGCCTGCTTGAATAGTGCCTGGCACTATTGGGATTTTGTTAAATGTGTAGATCATTTTGGAGAAAATGACTCAGTAATATCAAATTTAAATTCTATGAATATGTTTTTTTCTTTCCATTTATTTGTCTTATTTCTCATCAGTTTTATTTAGTTTTAATGATGGCATTATGCATCATTTGTTACATGTATTTCTAATTATTTCACATTTTGGGCTATAGAGCAGTTATTTTGCCTTGTTTCTGATATTATCTTGTAACATAAAATTAATTTGTGTAGTCATTTGTTATTATTTCTTCCTTAAATGTACATTGCAAACTACCAATGAAGCTATCAGAAGCTAGAGTACTTTGTAGTAAATTTTGAATTGTTTTATAGTAAATGTTTATCCAGATACTATTTCTTCTTGAATTAATTTTGAGAAGTAGTATGTTTTAAGGAGTTTTGACATTTCACTTTGGTTTAAATTTTTTGGCATAACATTCTTTTTAGCATTCTTCCATTTCGAAGTCTTTGTGGTCTATAGTGATCTACTACTTACTGTGTGAACTTAGACAAATTACTTACCCTCTTGTGCCTTCCTTTCCTCCTTTGTAAATAGGATAATAATAGTACCTACCTCATACTGGGATTGTAGAATTAACTGATAGTCCATTTGTATAATAAAGTACATAGAATAGTGTGAGGTATAGATACCAATGAAGTGTTAGTTTCTGTCATTGAAAACATTGTAGGGACTGGATGATTTCTTGTTGGTGAGGTTAGGCAGGAGAGTCATAAATCACACAGATTAAGAGAGATATATTCCAAGACCATTTTCAGTTTGTAGATTTTCTGCCAGTGAGGAGTAAATAAAACCCATTATTGTTCCATTGGCTATTGAGGTTTTGTTATGAAAAGATTCCTTTTCACAGCTAATGGCTGCACAGCAAGAAATAAATATATTAACTTGAGGAATGGTGCAAGCCCTGATTTTCAAAACTTGCTTTTGCTGCTCAGCACTGAACAGGACATATATTGTATGTAACTGATGTTTGTTAATTGGGTGTTAATTTATATTACAGTATTTTACAAGATACTTTCAGGGAAGGAAATTCTCTTTTTGGATCATCTTTCTTTGCTCCATGAAAACTGATATATATATATATATATATATATATATATATATATATATATATATATATATGTATATGTATTCCATATTCCTTTTATACCTTTCAGATTAATTTCTAAAACTTTGATAAAGAGAACTATCCATGCCATTATTTATTTAGAATTTAACTACAGTTGGTAGGTTATCATTTGAGTAAGGAGAAGAAAAGCATTGAGTTATAGTCTATGTCAAAAATTATTTTTTTCCTGAAAAGGGCCAGATCTTAAACATCTCAGGTTTTCTGCCCATGCAGGCTCTGTGTGAACTATTCAACTTTGCTATTGTAGAATAAAAGAACCCATATGCAAATATATAAGAGAAATGAGTTGGCCATACTTATATAAAATGTTGTTTACAAATACAGATGGCCTGTGGGCCGAATTTGACATTTAGCCTTGTTTGCAAGCCTCTGATCTATATAAAACAGTATACCTAAAGATTTGCCCAATTATGTCCTTATATGCAATCTTCAGCAAGCATTATTCATTTGAACTATATAACTCACTTTTGGTGAATACCTATCCAAGTATTTGTATTGACAAGTTGTCTATCTAGGAAATGTTTATATACATGAGGGTAAACATCCATTAAAAATACTAGGATTCAGCAGTCTAACAGATAGTAATATTTATTCACCAATTTATTTAAAGAATATTTATGGAGCACCTATTATTTACTCAGCACTATCCCAGTTGCAGGTATACATTGGTGAGCAAGATCTTTGTCAGTGTCCTAATGAAACTTACAGCCAAGCAGTAACTACCTGTTATTGAGATTAAATGGGTAATTGCAGTATGTTATATATTCTCATAAACCACATTGTTCCAACCACTGTTGCACCACTTATTTTAAGAATAATAGAAGTTTAGAAAATTATTGCACATAACAATCCTTCCTTATGTGAGAATAATTACAGGTATTTCAATTAAAATTTCTATTTTTATTTAAGAAAAGGAAAGAAAGAGAACAAAAAATGAATAAAGAAATGGAGGAGAAAGCAATGAAAGAACTAGGGAAAGAACATTTGCAGGAAAAAGCAAAAGAAAAATATCAAGAATGGTTAAAGAAAAAAAATTGCTGAAGAATGTGAGAAGAAGAAGAAAGAAAAGGTATTTTTATTAAAGTAGCCAGTTATATAATATGTGTTTTTGGTGTTCATAGGTGCCAACTATATTTTAGAAAAAAGTATATAATTAGAAAATTGACTGTATCATAGCATAAAGATATGAAAATATCCTTACTTAGATTATGCTTCTTTAATCTTCAAAATGAATATGTATTTTTGGTTTCCTTACATTGAGTAATTTCAATAAGCCTATATATTTTTCAGTCATATACAAAATTGTTGTTAATTGTTTTAAATATTTTTCAATATACTTTTATCTAGTCATATTACTGTATAATAAATTACTTTAAAAGGAAGGCAGATTGCTTTCTATTTCTTGGGTTTGATGTCTTATTGTTTAGAGGAAGACACATTAATATCACATCCCTGATCATGTTCAATTTTACTCTCAAATTATAGAAATATAATTCAATATTGTGGCCAGTAAGCCATTGTGAGAGGAAGCAACCGGGAGAAAAGACTCAGTAGAATTTGAATCGAATGTTTAGTTATAGAATATCCTTGGAAATGCTTTGGTCTTGTCATTTTAAGGAAAAAGAAAAACAATGGCAAGCCGAATTACAAGAGAAAAAGGAAATAGCAGATAAAAAGTTTAAGGAATGGTTGGAAAATGCAAAAAGTAAACCTCGTCCAGCTGTAAAGAGCTATGGTTATGCCGATGGAAAACTTACAGGTTAGTTTTTATGTTATGTGGCTTACATAAGTATGGTTTGCAGAAGCAAATTTTATACATTTTATTTCTTTTTCACAGAAATAGAAACTTATAAAATTTATTTTTCTTTCAAATTACTATCTTTTAGAAAATTATACTATGTTGGTAGGAATTTATTCATTCTCCATAAATGATATATAAAGGTATTGGTTGTAAAACTTCAAACTTACACTTTTAAGCAATGATTTCTAACATTAGAAAATAAATGAAATTCTCAGGGATGAAGTTGTAGTTCAGTCATGAAGCATGTCCTTAGCATGCATACAGCCCTGGGTTCAATTGCTAGCATCCCTGGTAGTGCTCTTACATTCTTGGATGAAGAAGCCTTACTCAGGGTGTTTTTAATGGTTCAGCTTGCCTACCCTTTTTCTAACCTTCTCTAAGGCAGAGCTTCCAGTGTCTTTGGCACATTCTTTTTACAGGGTGGGATATAGATAGCACATGATCAAACAGAACCAATTGGCCTTTAGGCTTGATCTGATGATAAATGGCATTGCATGTTTTTCTTTGTGCTTTATGTTGAAAGCTCATACCTTGATGACAGCTGCCTTCGATTGTTTAAATGATTTATTATTAAAAATACACCCATTCTGTTTTGTTCACACAATGGAACATATTCCAGACTTTGTTTTGACCATCTTGGTGAAGTGTGTGTTGACATATTATGCAGTCAAAGTGGGCTGCCAGGGTCTGAAAGACACATTCCTGCTGTCAGGATTAGGCCTCTCTTATATGTCATAGAGGTCATTCATTATATCCATTAATCCATTTTAGCTACTGAGGATGGCTTCTTCCTCCTCCTTCTCCTCCTCCTCCTGCCCCCACCTTCCTCCCTGCCACACTGCCTCCATCTCTTTCTTTCTTGCTTAAAAAAGGTCAATAAGCAGTGATTTTAACCTAATGATTAGATAGTAAAGCTAAGACTTTAGATGGGAATATACATATTGACTAGAAATTAATTGCTAAAACAATGGACTATTTTATTAAATTACTTTGCTTTTTAAATGAGTTTAATTCTTTTTTATTTTATTGGTTCTCTTTAGTTATACATGACTGTAGAATTCATTTTGATATAACTATACAAATATAGGACATACCGTTCTTATGGATATACATGATGGTGTATTTATATACATTATATGAAAATTATTTTGAATTCATTTCACTCTTTTCTTTTCCTATCCCCATCCCTTCCATTCATTCTAATAAGCAACATATTTGTCTGCATGCTGTACTTCCCTTAAGTCTTTATTCTTTATCCTATCATTTTTATGAATTATGAAATAAAGGAATTTGTGTGCCTATAATGACCAAAGGATTTGAAGATAATTTACAGAATGTTCTTCCTTCACATAGTTATTATTGTCAGGCATCACAAGTTTTAAACAGTATGTTCATCAAAAGATGCTCTCTAATTAGTAATAACATTGCACTGATTCTGTGAAATCATATTAACTTGAATAACAGTAAATCAAAATTCCCTGGTTCTAAACAAAAATCTTGATTTACTTTAGCTGTATAAGCAAAATAATTTTTTCTGTAAATTTTAGTCTCTGACAAGGGGAATCTAGTTCACAAATAACTCATTTCCTATATAGGGTTAAGAAAATGAAGGTTTTATTCAATTTTATGGTTCTGAAATTAATTCCATAGTAAAAACTTTGCAGGTATTATTATTTGCATAGATTTTAACAATATTACTTGCGTTCTCAGCATTAATTTTTGTATATGCTTTAACAATATTGTTTGGCTTCTCAGAATTATCTTTTACTACATTGCTATAGTGTGTCAGTGATAGTTCGCTTTTTTGACAGTTTAACATTTTCTAGGAATTTTAAAATAAGTAATTTTTCTCAAGAAGTTTAGTTGTTTTGTTTTGTTCTGATTTTTCAATGATTGTAAGTTTTTACAGTGGAACTTCCTATCCAGAACCAGCCTTTTGTAATCCAATTCCATGGAAACCAATTCATATGCCACCTCCCAAAGAAGCTAACGATCTATCAGGAAAGAAGAATAAAACACCTGTGATAAGAGAGCCACACAGGTCATCTCTGGTAATTCATAAAGCCAGAAGCAATCTTTGCCTTGGAACTCTGTGCAAAATGGAAAGATAGTATATGTGGAAAATACTATGCTTTTACCTAAAGCTACTTAATTTTGAAATCAAAAGATTTTTTACCTCTCAATCAGCAAGTTAGTACTTGATGTGATTATTGACATAATAATTTTTGTATTTTATATGGAGTCTGAAGGATTAATTGAGAAAGGTATTGTTTACGTTTTGGTTTTTCTTTTAAGATTGATCTTGGCATATTGTTTTGCATGATAAATCTAACAATTTTGTTTAGCTTGTATTAAAACCACACTGTAATACCCATAAAACCAATTTTTTTTCCTGTATTATTTCATACTCTATATTGTTTGCTGATGTTTATGTTTAAGAACATAACATTAAGATTAATTTGTCCAATATGCATTTCTAAACTGCATGCTTTTCTAAATGGATTAGAAACCAAGAATAATCAAAAACAGTCTTTGTTTATGGCTTTTAGTATACTTTTACCATTTAGATATTTTTAAAATAACTGAGTTAAAGTTTATTTTGTTACAGCTACAAGAGTTGGGACTTTCAAATGAAAATCTAAATACATCGTTTCATGCTCTGCGTCTTAGATTGATGTGTCATAATCTTGAGACCTTAGTAATATTGTGCTTTATTTTGTAAAAATACTTATGCTTTAATTGTACTTCTTGTTAGCTTTGAAATTAGGATTGTCATTGCATTATTTTTTAATATTGAAAAGTTAATTGTTAAGTTTTATGTTGCTGAGGTTGAAATCACAGATCTTATTAATAAACACATTTTAAGGATAAAAGTTGAAATGATTACTAAAATAGCACACAATTTGTATTAAATTTTATTAAATATGCTTTTTAGGAAAAGCCTGTTATCTTTTTTAGGGCCTGAGAAAGAAATGAAAATTTATTCATTTGAAAGTGATTTATATTTAGAATATATTCCATATTTTTGCCAGATTAGTCACTGGCCAAGTTTCTGGTGATCAGGTAATATGTTGAACAATGCAAGGACAGCAGAATTTTTTAAGCATATTCATGTAATCACAACTTTAGAAAAATGCACTTCTAAGCATAGAACAATTTGTTAGCAATCAGTAGGGATTGTTTAGTCAAAATGTTGGTGAGATTTAGGTTTAGTTTGTTTGTTTTTATGCAGTACTAAGGATTGAACCTAGAACCTCAATACTCACTGAGCTATGCTGAGCTATGTTTCTGGCCCTTGTGACCCTTGACCATATTTCTTAGAACTCCTGAAATAGTGATACTTCCAGATAATCATTCTATTTGAGTAAATTTGCCTTTATAGAGAAAATGTAGAATCTTTCAGGGTAGCAATATTTTTCTGTTAAAAATATATGTGCATTTTCTCTATAAAAGCAATTTTGGCTTTATATAACTCTGTGTGTGTGTGTGTGTGTGTGTGTGTGAGAGAGAGAGAGAGAGAGAGAGAGAGAGAGAGAGAGAGGTGTATCTGAAGTATCTGAATTTCTGAGGGTTTCATATGTAGTTGTTATAATAAACATTCTATTTCACAGCTGAGATTAACTGTTAAATATAACTATTCTAGCAAGACTTTTCATTCAGTCATTAATCATTTTAGTGTATATCCTGAGTTCAATAGATATCAGTAGTTTGAATTTTATTCTTTCTCTTTTTTTAGTACTGGGGATTGAACCTACAGGTGCTTTACTACTAAGACACATCCACAGCCCTTTTTATTTTTTTTATTTTGAGACATTGTTTCACTAAGTTGCTTAGGGCCTCATTAAATTGCAGAGGCTAGCCTCAAACTTGTGATCTCCTGCCTCAGCCTCCCTTGTTGCTGGAATTATAGCTGTCTACCACTCTGCCTGGATTTAATTGTAATTGCCTCTGAAGATTTTAAACAAGGAATTGATAAGGTGTGGTTTATTCTTTGAGATTACATTGGCTGCTCTGAAGAAAATTACTTAATTGGGAGGAGGGGAGAATGGAGGAGGGAAATGTTTAGAAGATTTTTTTATCATCTAGCAAAGAGATCATGATAACTTGGATTAAGATGGCGGCAGTAATAAGAAGTAGAGATGTATTTGAGTTATATTTTTGAGATGAAGCAAACAGGTCAGCAATTATTTAGATATCAGATTGAGAAGGAGGAAGAATCAGATATGACTTCTAGTTATTTGGCCTGATAACTATGTAAATAATGATAATTATGACAGAAATAGAAAGATTAATAGAGCAGATTTATGGGCTAAGATGAAGAAAGAGGGAGGTCTTCCAGAATTCAGTTCTGGATTTGTTAGGTTTTCAGTACCAACTTAAAATCCTAGTGGAGATGGTAGTTAAATATATGTATCTGATGCTCAAAAGAAAGCCAGGATTGGAGATATGAACTTGAGAAATATCAGCACATAGATGGTATTTAAAAACATGAAACTTGATCAGAATACCTAGGAAGAGTTTAGATAGTAAGAAGGGTGGGCTGAATATTCTAATTTTTAGACGTTAAACAGTCACCAAATCCTGAATCAGCAGCCAGTAGAGTAGAAGAAACCCAATAGAGTGTGATGTCACAGGAGCCATGAATAGAAGTGAGTTGTGAACTCTGTCTACTGCCTCTTGAGAACTAAGACAAGGAAGAGCCTTCATTATTGGATTTGGTAAGATGAAAGAAGTTTTTTGTTAACACAATAGTGAACATGTATTGAATTATTTCTACAGTCCTGGTATTCTTATGCTTTCATATGTGCTATTCAATCCTCAAAACAATCTTATGAGATAGTTACTTTCATTATTTTCATTATATACTTGAGGAAACTGAGATACAGAGAAGTTATATTGCATTTATTGATAGTAAATCACGGAACATGGA